TAATTTTCAACTTCTAATTTTCACTTCTAAAGCCACTTCTGAGTAATTATATCAATTATGTCACCCCCTATTACTCAACAATAGACCACTATATATTTTTGCAAGTATAAATACGATTGTACAGCCTCTGAAGATGATTTCGTCGATAAAGAAAATTTTCTTCGCTGAATCTGTCTTTTATTTTCTTCATGACTCTATGGGAATTTTCGGTGATCACAATAATCCATTATAATGTACATGAAAATGTATAAGTATCAGTTGATTTCCTAAATAAACTATTTGTTGCCTGGCCCATGTCCTCTGTTGTTACATGATGACAGTTTTTCAAATGTTGTCCAGATGGTGTAAATTTGCAAGTATTATCCCTTGGCACTAAATTTTGTTAGAAGTATTGCAATGGATATGCAAGTTCAGTTCAAAAACCTTTATACACAAACTGAATGCTTTATATCCTCAGCAGGTGAGGCAGTTGAATTTCTTAAATCAAATGTCGTTGACTGCTGCTATAGATGTTTAATTATAAAACAGAAATTGAGTAGCTGATACACCAGAAAACATGGAGGAGTCCTGCAAAGTCGGAGAAAAAAATGAGAACAAACCTATAACTAAGACTGATAATGTCTTTAAGGAAGCAATGAATAGAACTGAATACCCAGATAAAAGGAATGGACTACTTTGTGATTAGCAAAAATTGATTCTTCCTTTGACCGGACTGAAAATGTTGAGGAGCAATTGACTGAGTGCCTAAAATCCAGTTGCCATCACGGGAAATCTGTACGGATCACTCAAGCATAGGGGTACGGTCACAACTAGATTACATGGGATACGAAAAATATATAAAATGTTTTATCACTTTGATCAGTGTGAACGTGTATAATTGTCAATATCACGTAACAGTAAAATCGCTAGTGAAACTCCAAAAGCCTCTGCATAAGGATTTGCCAAGAAAAAGCGTAAAATATAGTTTTGCGTCTATCGAAAAAAGGATCTTAATGTGAGGGACTCTAATGATGTCTTTTGATGTATCCTCCTTGTTTGCCGATGTAGCGTTAATTGAGACAGTGTTATGAGATTACTAAGTGAAACATACACATTGACAATTCCGTGTCTCCATGAAGGAACCTATTCTATGATGTATAATGTGTATTCATTTCTTGCTTAACAAGGACTACTATGGAAAAACTGATGAAGTGGCTTATGGTTCCCCATCAGATCTAATCCTGGCTGATTGTTTCCCCGCTAAATTAGAAAATAGACCAATAAAAGTAGGCATCAATGAGTTCAGATTCCACTCTCAACATATGGATGATGTATTTCTGCTTATGAAAGGTGAGAATAAAGCGATGAACATCCTCGAGAAGTTAAACTATATGCTTTCAGAAATAAACTTCAACATATAGAAAGAAAGTATGGATGGTGTATCATCCCTGAACAAGAAATATGGTATACTTAGGAAGAGTATGCGCAGGAAACCTGCAATAACAGGTTAGTATACTCATTGTTTTGAGTTTTGCATCTTTTAAATATATATATGTAATTTGGTCGTGTCAGGTTGATATAGAGACGATAATCTGTTCCAACGGCTCCTTGAACGGTGAGCTTGCAATTAGTAGAGAGTTACTTCGTAAAAATGATAATTCAGATACGTTCACTGAGGAAAATGTACATATAATACCAGATGGGGTACATATGGCAACAATTCTGAAAAAAATTATGCAACAGACTAGTTTCCCTGTGATAACATCAGCGAAATAACAATCATATACATATTTGAGACAACACGCAAGCATATGACACAACAATGTTTGTCGCATTTTGTTCCGAAATACCTTTTTCTTCATATAGGATCTTAATGCAAAGTGAAAGTGTGAAGTGAATCTTCATTTCGTTGAAGAATTGTAAGGAATGTAAGTCACCACACCAGTCCGTGTACAGATAATTCGATATAACTGGAGTAGTAAAAAAATGGTGAATCCAGATGAAATGAAGGGTTTTGGTTAAAAGCAATTTGGATGCCCAGTGGTTAATGTGGGCCGCCACAGAGACTGCAAAACGCAGTTAAAAGAGCTTTCAATGCATCATAGGTACATTGTCTTTTTACTTGCACTCCTATTTTACGATCGAGATATAAAGACAAACTACATAATGTTGCCTCCTCTCTGCGTATCTCTCAGTTTGACTACAGCTGCTCGGCCAGGTTTACTGGGCGTTCAACTAGACAGGTTAATAATTGTATTTCCAAACGTCATCATCTAGCAGGTTGAAGCAAGTGATTTACAAGGGCCACTTATAGCTCCCTTTTAGCGCACGTTGAAGTCACAGATCACAAGGGTGATGTTAATACAGCGATAACACGTAATTACAGCATTTATAATATTCTTAAATTTGCTTTACGAGTTCGTCTTCTATGTAAAACTGGCACCATAAGAATCCAGATGAAGAAACCGGACCTGTGTGTTTAGAAGTAGGTCGTGTAGTCACTTTCATTCCTCTAGCCAAAATTACATGAGAGTAGGAAACTGACAATGTCTGTGTCACCATCTCATCCTTAGAGAACTTATAATTTCCCTAATTATCTCATCATTCTGTTTAATTCAGCTTCTATAACTCAGTACGTAATCAACTTGAGCACTCACTTGTTACTCAGTTACTATTTTTCAAAAGCTTATTCATCATGCAGTATGCTTGTTTGATTTTTGCAACTATTTCCATCCTAACACTATTGTAATAATTTACTTGTTTAATCATCACCTCTCCTAACATGTTCATTTTGACTGATTAGTGTTAACCAACTTGCAGTTAATAGCAATCAGTATTGTCACTTTTTGTGAAGACATAGCTTTTATTTGTAGCTAGCACATAATAACTTAAAATCCATAAAGTAAGCATCATCGAAAGGCGTTTGAACTGTTACCCTAGAGATCTCTGACCAACTCTGTGTTTTCTTCATTTTTACAAGGCAGTGACAGTATATTTTGCAGTGGTGGTTGACGTTGTTATCAGTGACTGAAGTGTTTCCCCTCGGCATACTGGAACCATATGCCCTACAGTCTATCTGGTAGCATGATAACTATAAATATATATATATAAATACATTTATATATATTTATATATCGCGTATCTGAAAGGCACTGATGAAGTATTATCATGACATTTTTACTGCGGAGTAGACGTACTCTCATGTATTTTGCTCTTCACCCTCTGTAGTATCACAAGATTTGTACTTAGTAATTTAGCGTGGCGTACCATCACGCCACCACGCCATCTTGAATTGGTGGCGATAAACTCGCAGAATGCACAATAAATCAGAAAATCGTTAAAAATGTAGCATGAAATTCGATTAAACGTATAGAAAACGCATTCAAAGAACAAAATAGGCTGTTCATGATGGAGGGCGAAGTCCAGATGTTTTTAAATTAATAAAGAATAGGTCCAATATAAAGGTTTCGAATTACTCCTTCATTCATTGGTATAACGATTTAAAAACTAAAACAGGTACGTTGTGAGTGACAGCTGAATTGTGATCTCCATTAAACATTTACACTTTGTTAATATCTGCATATTTATTAACTTGTTCATGTTAGCAGTTTTAATGAAATTGTATGTACTCTACCCGGTAGATATTTATGAATGTTTATGCTCATGAATGCTACTTGCCAATAATGTTGCATGACATATAATTAGATTCTTGAAAGTAAGATCATTGATTAATTTCTTCCATTAGGGAATCTTGTGGGTATCATTGTCCTGATATCTGGCACAACAATTTAGGCATTAGGTGCAAGGCATGATCTGGTATGCATGTTGACTAACAGAAACTTGACAGGATTTGATAAAAATGACAAAGAACATGAATGAGGAAAGAAGAGACTTGGGTCACTCACTGCGTATCTTTGAAATCGTCAGAAATAAGTTGTTCTAGTGACGCGTTACTTTCTCATCCATCAAAATTCGAAGTGGTCCGAGAGAACAGTTATGTAGGTTGGGCGTAAAGTCTATTGGCATAAATTTTTCGGTTGAACGTTGGTCTGAAATACCCAAACTCTAGAGGTACACCACTGAAAAGACATAGTTTCATTATCAAACGTAGCCACGTCGTATAGCTTTCACTTTAACTTCAACAAATCCTGGTGTTTATCATCCACCTGTGGGAGAAATTAGGTGTAATATGTTTTTAAATACTGCTGGTATAAAATTACTAATACGGTAATTAATAGTGATCTTTATATTGGTTCATATAACAAAGAACTGTATAATCTCATGAGAGAATCTCATATGCAGACATGTAGTTTATCCTAGAAAATTTTCACTGACACAGCTGATGGTACTTGAAAGGGGAAGGAATTCCAGTCATTGACTACTCTATGAGAGAAGCTAAATTTCACCGGTTTCTTATTCGTCTGCAGTTTCAGCACATTTTTTTGGTCACCTAAGAAGGTATCCTGGAGAAAGAAAAACGGTCAGAAATGTCAATCCCCAAACCAGCCTTTGACATGCGATATGACATAATCAAGTCACCTCTCCTCCTTCGGTATGATAATAGGCAAAGATTTATATGTTTCACCCTCTTCTTACAAGAAAGGTGTGAGATACCACTGATTACTAATTTGGTCCAGCTGTATGTTCTCTTTTCAGTATATATGCCTCCTTTTTAAAATACAGAATAGCCGCTTCTTTACAGTATTCTAAATGAGACCTAACTTATAATCATACCACTGTCGTGATATATATGGAATCAGAAGCCCGCACTGCTACGTTTCTGATTCATCATATTAAAAGTTGTCGGGTCTTTCAGAATTCAGCTCTGACTATATTGGAAAAACTAAAATCCCAGTTAGTTATTTCAGGTGAGTAAATATTATTATGCTGATAAGTGTTTAAATATTCTGTTCCCCATGCCCCTACTCATTATGCACTAGTCACTATTGAATTCATTCAGCTTTGAATACATTGTTTTCTCTATATGAATTTCATGGAACACTACCTATAGGTGAAGGCAAATGTCAGGTGTAGGTGCGAGCTTTGGCAGTTCGAGAAAACTGCACTTGAGTAACCGCAATTTGTTCTTACTCTGGGTAAGAAAACAATTTTTTGTTTTTGTTTTCATTCTCTCCTAATTTTGCTTCACACAGATGATAGCTGATACGGCGTTAATGATACTCATTACAATAGGAATGATTGTAATGGTGAACAATGAGTAAGACAAAACATTTAAATTCTCAGATGAAATAACATAATTTAACGCTCTTTAGAGAGGAGGTGAATGAATGGATTAGAGTGAACAGTTGGGTGACAATCATTCTGATGTAAGTACATTTTCTGTATGATAAAGAAACACATTGAGTTCTTTAATGTTTTTCATTTGTTTCATGAGTTGTTTGATTATCGATCATATTGTAATATTGTGAAACTTCAGAGTTCCGAGAGGAACACAGGGCTACAGTAGTGCATGTGTACTTCAACCTGCTCTGCACAGTCTTTTTCCAAGTGCTCCCTGATGTTTATTTCCTTCTCGAAAGGTCCCCATATTAACCTGTGAGCCTGGATCAACTTTTCTTTATAAGCAATAATTGTTTAGTTGGTATCTAGAATGTATCCTTTTTGGGGGATCCTCTGACCTTCAGAATTATTATTCCGCATTTAATGTTATTATTAAAAATGCATCATAATGCTACCACGTCTCCACAGTTAATTATTAAACTTAACATCTTGATTTTGTTGCTAAATGTCTGCGTTTCAACACAGGACCTTGCATTGAAGTGCAGCAGTTTAAGCTGTCACTCTCTATGAAGCAGAAAAAGACGGAAAGAACGGGAGGAAAGATAAGAATTCAAAATGGTTACTCTCCGCAATGAATTGATAAAGAAACAATAGTTCCGTTAAGGAACGTTGTGGTTTGACGGTTATGGAGAAACACAAAGTGTGAGTGCATCTTTCGCACTGAAAACGATATTGGGTAATATCACAAGCTGTCTCATATCAATAATCCTTAGTATCTCATTGACATGAACCAGTAAGCCTGCTCCTCCTGACATGGTTGGCTCAAACTAAATGCCGTAGATTTCATGAACTGATTCTTAGTTTTGCTTTTACCACCACTAGATATTCTACAACCTGATGCCTTGTCAGCTTGTATCATATCTCGGTGAAGGCATTTACTAGGCACACTAAATGCATGCCCTAGCCATCTAAATCAGTGTTGCTCCAAAACCTAATTGATTAACATTCCCTCCTTGGTTAATACCAGGCACCTACACTCAATGCCCCTTATCATAATATACCACCTAGCACAGGGGATAGAATGTGGAAACGTATGGTCAAATACACCTAGACAGCATCTGCATATCTTCCAATTTCAATGACCAAGTCTCACAGTCATAAAGGAAGATGGGAGAAAATAATGCACAAAACGCATGTCCTTTGATTAATAGCTTGTTTTTACGTAATCCACTTTGCTTACACGAGGGGTATCACATTTATTCTCAGATGAATGTGTCTATTTCCACCATAATTTCTCAGTAATGTTTACACAAAAGTGGTTGCTCAATTCATCAGTTCGTCTGTCCAAATTCTATTTTCAGAATTCTTGGATGTGTTCCAATTCTTATTCTTGTGTTAGTCAAGGCACTTGGAAATAACCGAGAAATCGACCATTATCTAATAGGATTCAGTGTAAGTATTTTATTCTATTGCTCAACTGTTTATTCAGTAGACATCTCAAGGCCTAATGAAAGCAAATATTCTAAATCCGTAAATTAGGTAGTTTTTGGGTTTAAACAGTGGAGTACATCCTAACACATTCTCATCATAGTTGGTGTTTCTTTTAATACCTTAGCGTGATAATGACAAATCACATGTACTTATGAAAATGACTCGTGTGCAAATGACCTACAGTCACTACCGCATACAAAAAACTATACGCGTCAGTATGCACGTATGGATGTTGCCCCATGAGACTGGTGCACTATATACCTATTAGGAAGTGTGACTAGCCAGTTGCCTCGATGAGAGGAACCATTATTAGATTAAAACACAGAGAGTGGTCACAACAACATATCGTCAATGACAGTGTGATCCAAACCGCCTATTAATTCAAGCACACAGTCTCATAAAACAGAATTCGAGTATATTAACTGTATCTTTAGCGTAGACAAACTCTCTAAACTCAGGTGGGAGTATTCCTTCCTCTCCTAGACTAAATACTTAGAGGTGGCTTCAGAAAGACTGACGATTATGGAATACTTCATGTATAATAGATTCAGCTTACCTCATGATTGCCTAATTGTGATTGGTTGTCCTCGGAGATGAATGAATATTGATGTTGTATCACGTATTGAACGATTTCCTGATTTAAATTGTCCTCATGTTAACAGATTGATAAGGAGTCCGGCTTTGGAACTTCCGAAAATCATTAACTGATTTGATCACTTTATTCCAAGAGAGATACTACTTAGTATATTTTTCATAAGTATGCCAATAATCTCTCATAGATATGGATGCTATTCTGACTTAATTATTGCGTGTTTAGGTATTTAAAATAGTGATGAGATGAAGCAACCATATAATAACAGCACATTTATCTTACTCATAGAATATTCAAGAGATTCAACGTAAAGTGATTGATAAATTTTTCAAATGAATACGAGGTGAATATCTAAGATAACTATTCAAAATTTCAATATGAGGTGGATATTATCTACTTTCAGAACACAGACTGACTTTCTACGTTAAATATTAGTCGAGATAACAAATTCATGGATGAAGAATCCATAAAATATATCGTAGTGTATAAAACTAAAATCTTCTCCGTATACCTGGGAGGACAGGTGTTCTTATAATGACGATTGTGATATCCATTCCATTAGTATATATCTTTCCCATTGAACAAATGTAACATTTTCAGAACCCCGCATGCTCTCCTTCCAATGTTTTGGATTCAGCAAAAATACTCAAAATAGAGTTTTGCCAAAAGAGGATATGCTTTCGGTGAATTAGTATCACACTTCAAAGACGGTCATTTCACAGAGCGCGAAATCCTACATGAATCCTTGACGATTCCTTTCTTTCACGAGGCAAACGTGTCGGGGAATGAATCCGCATTCACGGTATTTGAAATGCTAGGTGGAGTGTGGTCGTTAATAAAAGAAATGAGACGAAAGGTTTGGGTAAAACTTATCATCTGACATCATTTAGTCACTCATCAACTACACTTTTTCGGGTTTAACGCTGAACTTAACAACATTCATTTTGGGAAAAAACATTTCACCAGCACTTTATTTAGACATTGAACTCTCTTCATTATGTATGTGTATCCATGGCGTCATACAGATTCACAGGAAGTGGTAACGATTAAAATTACCATTTTGAGACATTGGTTGCAGAGTTGGAATTACCTGTTCCTTAAATCTAGATCTTGTTTACATGGTGGATGTGAGATGACCCCAATAGAAAACTTGTTCGAATTCGGGTCAGTTGGTGACTAATCAGAACAATGTATAGTCATCTCACGTTACCGAACTTTGATGTGGTCAGGAATGTAAAAACGTGATGTGTTTTAACTAAATGAAGGCGCTGGTGGCACACCATAGCACGCTCTCCAACCACGTGGTAAAACTCAGGCTGACGCACTCCTTCACCTCGCTAAGCCAGTAAGGAGACTGATAAAGAGATTAGGTTAAGCAATGAGGCTAGCAATCCTATTCCTTTGAATGAATACCACTGTTACTGAAACTTCAAGCCTCTAGCTTGAAGCCCTATTGGAAGGAAATTAATATAAAGGAAAAAAGAAAATTAATGAATGACTTAATGAAGGTCCACCACGCATTCTTTGTTCTTCTATCATTACATTTATATACACAGATAAATATATTTGTTTATTTTTATATTTTTTTTACAATTTACTAACATAATACTGTAAACGCTTCTAGTACATACTGTGTTCAATGGGATTCGCCACTTTGTTCCGTGTAATCGATGTATTGTACGCCTCGATATCCAGTGGTGTAACGCTAGTGGCGACTGCACTCGTGATCTTTATAGCTGTGAACGTACGGCGTTCCACAATGCTAACCATTATCATCTTTGTATTTGTGGTTATTGCACTAATCGTTGGAGCTGCCCTGCATATTGTTCAAATATCAACAGATAACAAACACGTAAGTTTTAAAAAAGACTGAATTTTGTCACAGCATAGTTCAAGCAAAATATTCACAGGAACATATTTGTGAAGCCTCACCGAATTAAATATGTATTTAACAAACAAACGTAATTCTCTAAGAACAACAGTAATTTGCTGGTCAACGTACTTATACAATTGTGAAACGTGTTTTATGTGATTCTCTGATTTTTGTCCTCTGATTTTAATGATAGTAATGTCGTCCATATCTCTTGTGACAGAGTTGTTTCGTTTCTGTTGCATGTATTGGGTTAAGATTTGTTGAACAAAAGATTCAACGATCACATTCTCCCTCCATTTAACTCTATTGTTTTTAGAAATATAACTCTGTCCCAACATGTTATATAACTGTATGTTGGTGCATGTACTTTGAATTATGAACCTCCATTTAATGTACTCATCATTTTGAGGTCAGCGATTCCACACTCAGCCAAATTTTTATGTTCCGATATTCTGAAAAAAAACCTAATCTAATCACAAGTGTATATTCGAGGGAGATGTTAGGCGCAAGAAAGTACACAAAGTTGAATCAGCAGTGATTTTACTAGTGAAGTAGGCTTTTAGTCTCAACCTCTTCTTTTTGAGATATTTAGTCTAGTCGAATTCAGAGTGTGCATCCGAAACTATTCGATTATATTTATGCTTCAATCAATTTGTTAGTCTTTGAGTATTTTTCTTTTTCTAGATAGCTTACAGGATTGGTGTTGCAGTTTGTTTCGGTATCGCTGTGGCGTCAGTAAGTTTCAATCAATTATCCTCATAAATTGCTATTATTGAGGTTATCAGGAGTCACTGTTTTAGAATTAGATTCTTTTATAAACGTTCGCTAACTAACAACAGTTAAAATATGCGAATAATTGATTTTGCAAATTGAATGGAATTCCATATTAGTTTGTTTATTAGATATATCAAACAGTGAAACAGTACCATTTACTGGATGACGTTTCGAACAAAATTTATTGTTCATAATCATATCAATTGTGACCACACGACTTTGACACTTGAGTTTTATAACTTTCTTTGTTTTCTCCTATTTATCGTAGGGGTAGTAGAATTTTCCAGATATCGGGGACAGGTGATGAATCATTCCTATTACATGTATTTGCAGTTGATTCGATAAACAAAGCTTCTGTTATCAATCTCTCCCTATACCCTGTGACATTAGACTTTAAAATTGTTATCCTATTCCATCCTATTTTATGGTGGTGTGTGACCGCATGTAGTGCTTTCGCTGAACTATTCTCTAGATTTCTTATCTTATTCGGGTCAACCAATCTAGATTTTGCTGAGTTTTTATGTTCATGACAATAGTGTCACTATTAGTGACAATAATAATAATATTGATGACGACACCAACAATAAAGAGTCTAAATCATCAGTAGTAATTCCATACAAAGAAAGAACCTCGGAAGCCTTACGCAGAATTCTCCACAAGGCAGGAATAAAAACGGCTTGCATTCAAACCCACAAACTCAATTAGAAACAAGCTTTGTCGGCTTAGGGATCCTGTAGAGCCTTTAAAACAAAACAATTTAGTTTATCTGATACCCTGCAATGATTGTCAGGTCAAATATATAGGTCAAACTAGTAGAACAGCGGCAGTCAGACTAGCTGAACATAAAAACTTAGCAAAATCTAGATTGGTTGACCCGAATAAGATAAGAAATCTAGAGAATAGTTCAGCTACAGCACTACATGCAGTCACACACAACCATAAAATAGGATGGAATAGGATGACAGTTTTAAAATCTAATGTCACAGGGTATAGGGAGAGATTGATAACAGAAGCTTTGTTTATCGAATCAACTGCAAATACATGTAATAGGAATGATTCATCACCTGTCCCCGATATCTGGAAAATTCTACTACCCCTACGATAAATAGGAGAAAACAAAGAAAGTTATAAAACTCAAGTGTCAAAGTCGTGTTGTCACAATTGATATGATTATGAACAATAAATTTTATTCGAAACGTCATCCAGTAAATGGTACTGTTTCACTGTGTGATATATCTAATAAACAAACTAATATGGAATTACTTACTACCACAGTGCCCAAATTTTTACACATATATTAATTGAATGGAATTTTGTAAAGAAATTTGGTTGACGTTTAACTGCAGAAATATTTCCAGTTAAAGCGAATGGCCCTTCCTCAGTATTTCATTGGCAGAAATGATTAGGAACCTGGATGTTCCAGTCACTGAAAAAGACATTTTTCACAGCTGAACTTCGAGTTAACGTTATATTGTGAATGCAATTTTTTCCGTCTTTACACCCTTAGTAATGCTACTTTTCGATGGTCCTCCACCTTCTAGTGGTATTGATTTTTAGCATATGTTCATAAATTATTTTGCGACTGTTTTTCCCACATGAATGCTTGAGAAACGAACTGAAAATGGATATATGCGGTTGCAGATAATATGACCGGTTCTTACGCTCTGATGTGTTTCTTCCTTCTGCTATGACTTACTAAAAATCTGCCAGCAGAATAGCTAAATTTGAAAAATGCATTCAGTGAGCGATCATGTTATGAACGCATTCAGTCGCTTTTGGATGAATTTGAATGACACGATGCCTG